GTGATTTGGACATTGTTTGAGCAGCATATTATGGATGAACGTCCTTTCAGGCATTCACTTTCAGAATAAGGAGATTTTGTCCATATTAAAAATTTCCTGGAGCAAATAACCTCCTCATACAATTAGTTTATCTAAGATTTCAACAAATTCTTCTGCTGCCTTAGCATCAGCACTTGCAAACTCAGCACTCACTTTCACACATGCAGCGAAAAACATTTGAAGCACTTGAACCACCTAGAGCTAGCACTAAACTGGATATCATAGTTCGATCCTACTTTTTCTTTAAGCATCTCAAACAAGCTTTGTGTCTTAGTCGTGATCGTCAACATGCTGAGAGGGATTTGCTTTTGCGTTTTGTCCTCAATCCACGTCATTAGCAGTTTCTCCATATCTGATATAGGTCTCTCTCACATTTTTGTTAGCCTTGCAACTTTCAGTGGAGCCAATCCTTTAATAGCTTGGAGAATTTTTTCTTTGTTTTTGAGGACTGTCGTGATTGCCAAGTGCAATATGCCTAAATCCACTATGTCCTGTTCTCCGATTGGGATTTCTGAACTCTATTACAACCTTATGGGACCATGGACTTATATGAGGTCAGACGTTGCTAGAATGAACATTATGTGGTACGTGACTGTATATAGAAAACATCTTTGTTTTATTCCCTCCCTTATTCCATTACTTACTATAAAATACAAGATGTAAACCAGGCTAGTGCATTTTATTTTCGGTTGTACGCATGTTAGTTTTATCATGTTAGGCCCAAGCATGACTTTATAATTTTTATTTAGAGCTTATGTATGGTTTAAGGAGATGTATGCAGGTACCAAGTTGACAAGGGGAGGACTATGATGGTTAAGGTTATGTGTCAGCTTGGCTAGGCCATGATTCTCAGTGGTTTCCTAGATATCATGTAATCATCTTTCATTTTGTGATCTGATATAAGCAACCAATCAGTTAAAAAGTCAATCAGTTGAAAGCCAGTCAGTTTCCTTGGGGATGTTGCCTGTATCCAATATATATATGGATGTTCTGGCAAAGGTCGCTCTCTCCTGATCCTGCATCCTACTTGTCATCCTCTGACCTCTGGTTCTTGGACATAAACCAGCAACCTGAGGCCTGACCTACAGATCTTGGGATTCATCAGCTCCTGCAATCCTGTGAACCAGCAGCCTTCTGCTTGACCTGCCAATTTTGGATTCATCAGCCTCTGCAACCATGTGAGTCAGAAGCTTCCAGCCTGACGCCTGATCCACAGATATGGGACTTGCCAGCCTCCACAACTGCTTGAGCCATTTCTTTGAGATAAATCTCTCTCTCTCTCTCTCTCTCTCTCTGTGTGTGTGTGTGTGTGTGTGTCTGTGTGTGTCTGTGTGTATATGTATATATATGTATATGTGCTTCACTGGTTTTGCTTCTGTAGAGAACCCAGCCTAAGACAGATGACTTGACCCTACTCCTCGCAAAGAAAACCATAGAATTGTGCTAAAGGAGCACATACTTGAGAGAAGGTATCTAAACCATGAGGGACTGAGAACTCCATCCTCATGTAAACTATTTCTGATCTTATTTCCTCTAATAGATTTTCAGCTCATTCTGCTAGTCAGAAATAATCATCTGAGCTGAAACAGACTTGACCATTTCTTGGGTCGCAAGTACATCATCAACGGTCTGTAAATAAATTGAAAGCTTAGAAGCATTCCACAAACCCATATATTAGTGGGAACTCTACAATGTATTAGGAGCCCTGGTGGTGCAATGGTTAAGCACTCAGCTGCTAATAAAGGTCATTGGTTCAAACTCACCAGCCACTCCATGGGACAAAAGACCTAGAGATATGCTCCCATAAAGATTACAGTCTAGGAAACCCTATGGGGCTGTTATACTCTGTCATATAGAGTCACTATGACTAGAACTGACTCGAAGGCACAAAACAACTGCAATGTATACAACAGAGAAAATTAACACAAGAGTGGCCAGCTACCAGCACTTGCTTTTTCACAGTAAATGTATGAGGTGGTGTTATGGATTGAATTATGTCCCCCCAAAGTATGCACCAACTTGGCTAGGCCATGATTCCCAATATTGTGTGATTGTCCATTTTTCGATCTGATGTGATTATCCTATGTGTTGTAAATCGTAACCTCCATGATGTTAAGGAGGCAAGATTAGGTTACATCTTTAGCCACTCTTTTGAGATAGAGAATCAAGCAAAGAGGAGAGGTACCTCATGCCACCAAGAAAGAAGTACCAGGAGCAGAGCATGTCCTTTGGACCCAGGTTCCCTGTACTGAGAAGCTCCTAGACCAGGAGAAGATCTATGACAAGGGCCTTCCCAGAGAGACTTCCCCTGGAGCTGGTGCTCTGAATTTTGAACTTCCAGCCTCCTAAACTGTGAGAACAACCTCTGGTGGCATAGTGGTTAAGAGTTCAGCTGCTGACGAAAAGGTTGTCAGTTCGAATCCACCAGGTGTTCCTTCGAAACCCCATAGGGTAGTTCTACTCCGTCCTATAGGGTCGCTATGGGTCAGAATCAACTTCATGGCAATGTTTGGTTTTGTTTTTAAACTGTGAGAGTGTAAATTCTGTTTGTTAAGGTCACTTGTGATATTTCTCAAGTGGTGCCACTAATATTTCCTCCTAAATCTAAGGAGACTTAGATTTGGAAACTTAGATTTAATCACTTGATCAGGTCGCACTGCAACTGCATGACCCACATTGTGAGACTTGAGCTGAGATCAAATTTTCCCAGAGTGAGAAGTTCCCATTTTATCCCTTCTCCAGATTTGAAGTCATACACTGTAGGTCATACACCTTTTGGTGTCTTGTGCAGTCTGGAGAATGCTTTCTTGACTTGAGCCCAAGGATATAGGTACCTTAGAGAAGTGACTAAAACAAATCTAATCTTGTTCTTCTCCTAGTTACCATGTCTATTCACCTCTTGGTACAGTAACAGAGAGACTTCTTTTATTTAAGAGTCTTTCCAAAGTTGTTTTCAAAATACACATTCTGATATTCAAGAAGAACTTTCTTAAAAATCACTTTCTTTCAAAGTTTTTATTTGATCAAAAACATATATGTATATACTTTATAATTTTAAGAAAGTCCCAACACTGACAACAGAAATTAGTTACATTATTACAATTTAAATAGTTTACTTACATAATTGTCATTTTTAAAGTTCTAAGTATATTCTGTTTTTACTCTTAAAGAATTAAAATGGTATACTTGCTGAAATATTTACTGGTCATAGAAATTATTTTTTAATTGTAGGTAGCAGAGAGATAACTAGTCCAATGGTTAACTAGTCCAAGGAACCAACTTATAAAGCATTCTGTAAAAGTATTCTCTCACTCTTTGAAGGTTTCTATTTTCAAACTCAGTCAAGTAAAAACTGACAATGAAATGACCATATCCTAAGGGTTTTCAAAACTGAAAATACTTATTTTTATAATTATGTATCTATGACCTAGATTTTACCTTTTTTATGAAACATATCACTGAGTGCATAGCAAGTATGCAATAAATACTTATTAACCTGAAGTGAATTGACAAGCATCATTGATTATACCATTTCTAACAACCAAACCCACTATTGCTTTTTAGTCTATTGGTGACAAGATCAGACTGAATGTCATATTCAAGTTGGTTAGATCCTTGGAAGAAATAGTAGTATCCTAAAATAAAAACAAAATCCAATCATTCCTTTGTATTTCCTTAAAAAAAAAAAAAAAGATAACAAATCTGTGTTTTTATAGTATATCTAGATTAAACAAGGTCTGACTTGAGAACATAAACGTTGGGGGTCCTTGGCTGGGTCTCCTATCTACTGCCAGTCATTTCATTTAAATAATTTTATTAATTTATTTGGGAGGATTGTCTTGTCTTCAAAGGTAACCATTAAGATGCAAATGTTTTGGAAAAGTCACACTCCAAGTTGAAGACTCAGGGTAGGAGAGAGGAGACTGGGCCCAGGAAGGGCAAACAGATGGAAGCGAAAAGACACTGGGGAGAAATAAAAAATCTTGGCCCAGTCAACAGTTTTGCTTAGATTGACCTTGCTTAAAGACATTTTAACACAAACTCAAACTCTCTCATCCCACCCTTAGCCCCAGTTCATGACGGCCTATGAAGGGTTGAAGGGGCTGAAAGGAAGGTGCAGAAAACGAGGTATAAGAGACTTTGTAGACTCCAGATTGCCTGTCTCAGTTGCCCATATGCTCATTCCCATACACTGTGCAACTGGGTGTGGTTGGAGGAAATTCCAGAGACTCAGACACATGGTTGCAACAATCACCTAGGAATAAGAAGCCATTGCCTCTACTAGCCATTTCCTCATTCTTCTAGTTCACCTATTCTGAGCCAAGTATGTATTTCCATACATGTCATAATCTACTTACTTTTAGAAAAGAAGACTGCATCGATTTTAGGCCCAATTCCTTGGAAGTTCTTTGTTATCAGTTTGGGATAACTGTGGTCCATAGATTGTCTCCTCTCATCTTACCTCAGCAAAGAAATAGCAACCAGGAACTTGATCAGAAAATACGTTTCACAACATGAATCTTCCAACCCCAAAACCCACCTTTCTCGTGGAAGTCTCTTCCTGCAGGGGTCTAGACAGCACCCATAAGAAAACCAATGATCTAAAATGGTTCACTGACTATTCCAAGTCCTTATAAGACTTGAAAACTAGGCTTCCTGACTTCTAGTTAAGCACTTCCCCACTACCCCACAATGCTTTCTTCAGTGCACAGTCCTGATTTAATTGGAACCTGGTATCGAAGTTGATTTGCCTACAACACAGGCTCTCACTGAACAATTATTTAGCTGCCTGTCCTAACCTTTTCAAAATTTCCTATTGACACAAAAACAACCACTTTTCTCAGAGGATAATAGAAGAACAGGCAAGGGTTTAACATCCATGGAGCCAAAGGGTTTTAAACATTCATGTTAGAGAGAAATTGAAAATCAATCTTTTATCAATTCCAGGCTTTATAGTCAGGCTTCAGTTTCTTTCCTAAATTCTCTTTTACCAGGAAGGAAGAATTTTGTTTCTTTCCAGACTTCAAAGTGACAACTGAATCCAAAAGTATAAAGAACTAGGCTGGCAATAACTGTTCCAGTCCTCTGTTCTCTTCATCCCTTTCTTCCCAGGAAGGTCAAAACTCTTTGGGAACTTGCACAGAAAGTCATTTCATGCCTATTTCACAAGTCTTAGGAGTCAAATTACCAACTTTTAAAGCTCACCTCCAATACTGATTATCTACAAAGAAGTAAGTTTTTATAGATAAATGGGTTAAAAACAGCTGCATCAATTTTTTTCACAGAGTCAGGGAAGCCCAGAACATGTATGCTCCTGGGATAATTTGGCTGTGGTCTTAAATGGCTGATTAGCCAGTACTTGTTATCTGTAAAGAAAAAGAAAAAGGGTGCATTGGAATTACACAAAAGGTAACAGAAATGCTGACTCAGCACAACCTCATTTTCTGCCCCCCACCCCATAGTTCTAAAAAAATCTTGCTTGTTTTGTTAGTACTTTTAAGATCTTGCGCTACTTTTCAATCTATTGACTGAGGGTTAAACTAATTTGCACTGGTGGCATTACCATTACTATTTTCACACCAGAGAAACACGAGAATTTTTTTATGACTATATGAAAGAATAGAAATTGGCATCAATTCCATTCTTTTAATGCATTGTAAACTGGAAAATCTGGGATAATTAATGGGCTATAAGTATATAAATTGATAAAAGTTGTTCTTAAAAACAGTCTATCCAGGTGAACATAATTAATGCCATGGGATTATATACTTAAAAATAGTTAAAAGTGGTTAAATTTTGTGTCATATGCATTTTATCATAATGAAAACATTTTTTAAATGATCTTTTATGGTTCCATGTTTTTTTCTCACAAATATTACCATCTTTTCACAAACTAGACTAAGTTTCTGAGAGTTATGTATTACCTAGATATTTAGGCTATTTTGGCTTATAGTTCAGAGCCACCATTACTAACATTGGAAATGCTTTTCTGGGCTATGTCTACATAAAGTTGTTATTGTGTGCCATCAAGTCGATTCGTGTTCTCTTCTTTGAAGTAGATTCAGTGACAAAATGAAACACTGTAATTACCTTTAAAAAGAAAAACTTGATTTCTGGCTCTAATTTCATAAGCGGCTTGAATGACAGATGGCAACGTTGGCCAGAAGGAAGAAATTAGATTAAAACTGCTCCTTGGTAACTCAGGAAACTTCCACCAGAAGAACCTGATATGAAGAACAAATTAACACAGGTTAAAAATCATTGTAGAGTCAAGAATTGTGAAATGTTTGTGTAAGAAGGATCTGTGAAAAAAATGACTTATGTTTCTTTCCATTATCTTCACAGTCTGTTGCATAGATGTCTTCTTGCAAATTCTCAGGGTAGGAGCACCACAGGGAAAGGCTCTTAATCAATTATTTTTGATAGCAATGATTTGAACTGGCAACCCGGTATATGGAAACACTTGCTATATGGAAACACCCTGGTGCTTGGAATCAGAGGATCTAACTTCTTGTCTGGCCCCAATATCAATTCACTGGTTCTGTAACCTAAAGGAATTCACCTAACCCATAGTGTCTCAGTTTTATAATGTCAAAAATGGGGAAAATATTTATTTTAACCAATAAAAAGTGGGAAAATGTGAGCTCTGCAGATTTCTAAGAAATCACCATTTCCAACTTGTTTATTTCTCCACATACATTTCTCAAAAGCACATGAAACCTCAGTCTCAACACAAAAATTAATTAATCTTCTCTACTCCTCCCACAAATACCTGCTTTTATCTGTGTTCCAATACAGAAACCATAAGTCATCCTGAATATCTAAAAGTAGTTTCTTTTTTAGGAACTGTCATTGCCATACTTCACCATTTTTATCTATGATGGCAATAGCCTGACTTCTCTGCTTCCTCTCTTCTTTCCACAACCCAAAATCCTACCTCAAATCCATCTTCTTCACACACCGGTTTTCTAGCAAAAACACAAATCTATAATCAAGCAGTTTTCTTGCTTCAAAATCTTTAATACCTCTCCACTGACTGCAATATCGACTCCAAGTCTCTGCTTACAAAATCTACTTTATTTTCCACTATTCTTTAACAACAACAACAAAAATCTAAGGAAAGAGCTTATAATATTGATTAGATTTGAAAACAATCCTACCTGTCTTTAAACAAAAGGATTCTATTTCCGATTGTAGTGACAGCATCAAAACTCAAGTTGGGGTCACAGATATTTGGGTTTGTACCATCAGGAGGTGGCATGGATTGGTACTTTTCTGGACCTCCTGAAAATACATTTCAAGAAATATTGGAAAACATCTGCATTTTAGATCTTATGATCTAAACATTACAATGTTTTTGTTGAAGAATGTACAAAAAGCAACTTGAATTTTCTGTAACATCCACAGAAGGTCTACAATAAAAATCTTTTTTTTCATAAAGCTGTAATTTCATGCAGAAGAAAATCTGCCCAGTCTTCAGTTTTCCTGTTCCGATTAGATTTTCTGTGCACTTTTTCCAATAGGGCAATGGTATGTTCAATAGAAAACCACCAGAGTTGAGGCCTGAAGACTCAGGTTCTACCTTGGGCTCAAACATTAACTGTATGACTTTAGGAAAACTACTAGATCTTGTCCTCTGTAAAATGGACATTTATACTACTTACCTCACAGTGTTCTCACAAGGCTCAAGTGAAAAGACAGCTGTATGCAAACGGAGATATTAGATTGCTCCTAAGAGTATCTTCATATAGCAAAATGATAAAGAAATTCAACTCACCATAAAGGGACTGAATGCCACGTATGTCATCAGTAGAGAGGTGAAATGTGTTGGTGTTGACATAACTGTAGGTGGGAAACATTATGGACTTTGGATCATTGGAATGTTGAAGACCCAAGGAATGACCAGTCTCATGAACAGCAACAAGAAACAAGTTTATGCCTAAAAGGAAACCAACGAAAAGGAGGAAAAATCAGTGAGATACTTTGGCATCTAGGAGATAATAAGATGAGACACTGACACCTTGAAAAATGAGTAACTTTGGGAATATTTTACTTGTTTCCCCACTATCCTAAGCAGGGTTTCTTCCCCTCAAAACTATTGACATTTCAGGTCATATAATTCTTTTCTCAGTGGCTGTCCTGTGCATTATACGATGTTTTGAAATTTGCAGTAGCAACCTTCCCTCCAATTTTGACAATCATCTCTAGACATTGCCAAATATCCCCTTGGGGTCAAAAATCACCTTCAGGTTAAGAACAATTGCACTAGCAGACAAAATATATTGTGTTGTGAATATTTCTAGAATCTCATACCTATGTTCAATGGTTTTCATTGCTTTTAAATCATTCCTAACTCCCATGCCTCCCTTCTGCTTTTACCCTTTCAGGCTTCAGTGGATTCAGAAAACCTTTAGTAATCATCCTTTGCTCTTCATAAACCCAAATAAAATTAAGTTCCAAAGGTCAAATCAATGCAGCTCCTTTATCTTCCCTCAATTTAAAACTGATTAAAATCATTTCTATCCTAAGACACCCCTCTGACTTGGAACTGCAGCCATTCCTGGAAACCACCTTCCAGCCAAACAATAGACAGGTCTATACAAGACCAACATTTGCTCAAAAATAAAGATGAGGAGGCAGAAAAGGATAGGAAAACCAAATGAAAGGAAATGGAGGATCCAGGGAGGAAATGGGGAGGGTTGACACAGTGTGGGGATTGCAACCAATGTCATGGAAACCTTTGTGTACAATTTGTTAAATGGGAAACTAATTTGCTCTGTAAACTTTCACCTAGAACACAATAACGCTAATGCTATTCCAGACACTGTGAGTCACTGAGTAACATAACACATTATGCCTAATCCTTGCAACTGAAAGGGAGCCATCATGCTTGAGTCAAGATTCAAATCCTAATTTCTTGGCTCTAAACATACTTTTACCATATATGATTCTAAATGAAATCAAAGAGATTATGCTTACAATTTAAACATATTTAGATTACCAAGGTTAGTTTTCCCTGCTCCTTTTTCCTGTATGCCCTAGAGAATGCACCTTGGTAGATAAGAGATACTGGCATGTTCCTTCTCTCAAATTTCTCAATTTCATAAGAGCTGAGCAATTTCTGACTGACATTTATTTGTGGTCTAGTCTGACACCTTCATTTTTCTCTCTCTCTCTCTTTTTTTTTTTTTTTCCTTTTTCCATGGCTGAGCTGAAGCTCAGAAGAACTATGACTTGTCCAGAGTCACATACTACTTAGCTACAAAGCTTAGCCTTGAAATATTTTCTAATATCAGATTGTGAACATAGAGCCCATACTTGTTTTTTGGGAAGTGTCTAGAAACATACCCTACAAGTATCCCCTACCAAAACACAGGGGTCAACAGCAGGAGCTTCATTTCATCTCTCCACTCTGCATAAGGCTAGCTGGGAATAACAGTAAACAAAGCCTTTTACAATTTGGCCTACACCTACATTTACTCTACTCTCCTAATACTTTGTACAAACCATACCCCTGGTCCTCATCTCAAAATATTGAATTTCTGTTTCCCCACTAGATGGGTGCTCAAGGGCCAGACTGTGTCTTTTTTTATCTCTATCCAAACACACCCACTGCCCAACACCATCATAAAAACTCGGAAAGCATTGAGATAATTGTTCATTTAATTTATTGGAGACTGTGGGTCAAAAAATTAGTCTGAGAATAAGTATTTTAAATTAGAATTTTTTATGAATAATTTACCTTTCTGAAAGCAGAGAATTGGCCAATTAAAAATAAGGCAACACAAACAGGTGGAAAGTATACATTAGACTAGGAGCATGGCCCCAGCTTTTCCACAAGGAAAATCTGCTCTTCGTCCTCTATACGTGAAGTTCTGGATTAAATGATCTAAGGTCCTTTAGGATTCCAAAACATTAATTCTGCAGAGGCTAACCAGCACAAGTCTCCCTTTTCATCAGATGAAGAGATTGCAAATAACCCCAAATAACCTTGGATAACAACATCTGGCTGCATTTGAGTTCAGCAGGGATTCATTTCTATATGATTTTGTGGTCTTTTGATAATGGCAAAGTCCTCTTCTCATCAAGAATTTTATAAGGCTCAGGCCATGTTTCAGACTAAGGCAAGCTTTTTGGTTGGACTTTAAGTATCTATAAAAATGTTCACACCCAATGTGTGCCATATCAGCTAGAGGGGGAGATGCTGAGTAGAGCATATTCTTGATGATTTTCCCTCCATTTACTTTCCACATAAGTGAAAGTCATATAATCTAGAATTTCCAATAGAAAGATTAGGAAGTTTTGACGTGATGGTTTGAACTTTCCTATAGTTAGTGATTTCCCAAACAGGGGATGTGAGTTTACACCATCCCCTAACTGTCTCTATAATAACTTCGGTTGTGTCACAATGAATCTAAGAAATTGTTAGCATATTGTGAATCATGCAGAAGACAGACCACTTACCCTAGTGTGGCTGGCACACACAGAACCAGCACGCTTTTGAGTTTATGGATTGCATTGGCAACACTGATCACCTAAATCACAACTTTTACCTTTCCATGATATGGTTCTTAAGGTTCCCAAATTCATACTAATGAACTAGCACACCCTCATAAATCTTAGAACTGGTCTTAAACATAACTTAGTCTAATATCTTCAATTTATAATGGGTAAATTGAGACACAGACATATGAAGTGTATTTTATTTAATGGCAAAGTTAGAATCCGAACAAGTTTTCTCTGTCCTACAATCTTTTCTCAGAATGTAGCCTTGCAGAACCAGGACATAATTTAGAATTTGTTTTAAAGTAATATTTTGCCTACCTTTGTAGCTTTTAGTCCAGAATTCATCCTCATCAAAATGTACATCTCCTCCAATACCAGGTCCAGGTGCAAAAGCATGGGCTATGTCTCCACCTCTACCATTAAACAGATAGGGGTCTCCATGAGCTTTTAAAAAAAGCAAGAAAATTAGTCCTATATCTGTTATAGGTCATGCCAAATGACACAGATTAAGCAAGTCCAAGTTCTCTACCTCCATGTGCAAAAGACATCATAATCTCAGCCTTGCCTTCATAAATCTGTCTGAATTTCAAGGGTGTCACATCACTCCATACTTGAAAAGCTTTCTGGATGGCATAGTTGACATCCTCGCGCACCATGTCAGGAGTGAAATTCTGGATTCTTTATTGGCAAGAGAAAAATATATGGAAATCATATGTTAATATATTATAGCAATGCTTCATTTCTGCTAGCATTATTGGAGGATGAATTATTTCATAAATCAAGAGTCCAAATAAGAAAAACCTGCTTCATTAAATTAGCATTTTTCCATGGACACCTTTCTTAAAATCTAATTTAATGTTTTTTTATTTATGAATTACAGGTCATCATTGTGAAGGGTTTCCATAGAAACTTATGCTCCTTCATCCCTGCTCCCAAACTTTTGCTTTTATCCACTATGAATATTTCTCATCTCTTATTTACAGTAAATTAAGCTTCATTTTCCTTTTATTGGCTGCTTTTCTACCCTGCTCTCGACTAGCAAGCTATATCTTCCTTGAGTGAACAATTCTCCCTTATATAATGAACTTTACCATCCCTGGGTGATGGAAATGGTTAATGGACTCAGCTGCTAACCAAAAGACTGGAGATTCAATTCCACCCTGGGGCGTCTCAGAAGAAACGCCTGGTGATCTACTTCCGAAACCGTATAGAGGACAGTTCTATTCTGATATACATGGAGTTTTTTCTCTGGTGTTATAATTGGGGAGGGAGGATTCTTATCTACTGCCAGATTTAGGGTTATATCTAACATGGTCAGAAAAGTAGAAAAATACATGGCTACAATATTACTCGTGGGGATATGATGTTTCTTCCATACTGGCCTCCCTGTCATTGTACTGTAATGACGAACATCAGGCATGCCACACCAAGAGGTGTGCATCATCTCCAGAGTGGATGTATCCAGTTGCCTGGTCATGTTTAGCCCCAAGAACTGCTGCATTTCCTGGATTTTATTCTCCATGAAGTTCTCAGTGAATTTCATTTTTATCATTGGAGTTTTTTCCATATGGAAGTCATAAAAGGTTTCCAAGTATTTCTGTATTACATAACCATACAGGTAGATGTTTCTGTTGGAGCCCACGTGAGCTCTGCATTACTCAAATAACTGATGATTTAAACCGGGCATTTTGGACATCTTAATCACAAAACTGCCACTCTGTTAGATTTGGACCATTAACTATAACGAAAATAAATTTTAACATTCTGTGCTATCAGAGATGTGTCAAATTATCATTACCAAGATTAATTCCTGAAAACCCACTGGAAGCACCTTTATGTCTCTACCTCCTTGAACTTGTTTCTACTCTTTAAAACCTATTTCATCATCTAGCATATCATGACATTCAGTAAGGAGCAAACTCTTTATTGTCGGGATGCATCAATTATTAAGCTGGGATGAAAATTCCTTGCCTTAAACCCAAAGCGCAACACTATGGGCAATTATGACAAATTCAAACTTAAAGTAGTCTTAGAAAATGGAGAGATTATAACTAGGGAAATCAATTTTCTTAAATCCTAATGCAATTTTTTAAAATCCTAATAGGGTCACTATGAGTCAGAATTGGCTTGACTGCAATGGGTTTGGTTTTTCAGGTATAATGCATTTTTTTAAATGCTTGTGAAGAAATATCTGGGATGAAGGCAACCTGAAGTGGTTAAATTAATCAAGCCATTGTTCCAATCTCCAGTTAACTTGCTTTCCTTTTTGGAATGTAAAGTTAATACTAAAAACAGCCTCCTGCATCAGTTTTCAGCTAGTACCTTTCAAAATAAAACAGGCCAATGCAATAAGTATCACAAATAAAATATTATAGTGTCAATACCTACTTCAGCAAACATCAACTCATTTTCTTCCAGGTTTTCAACAGGGAACAGAGGAACAGCTCCAGAAGCAGTGGCTTGCAGGACTGGAATCAATAGGAGAAACTTCATTCTCAAGTTCTGAAGGACTTAACCCAGTTTGATCCGATCCTTTTCGGCTCAAGTTCCTTAAACGTGCCTTTTTTTTATAGCCCTTAGACCACGTTCTATGAATATGAAATCCTTTGAAGGACTTGGTTGATGCCATCCTTTGATTTATCTCAAGAAAATGCAAACACAAGCAAGACCTTATTCTAGGATCAACAATGGGTCAATTAGCATCTAACTCCTCACTCAGACAACTCAGTATATTTTAAGAGGCTACTATCTTCAAAATGATAAATAAGCTCCTACCTCCACCCATACTCAAAAAAAAAAGAAAAAAAAAAGCCATTGTAAGAAAAATACAGGAGTCCCTGTATGGTAAAAATGGTTAATGAGCTCGGCTGCTAATCAAAATGTTGGAGGTTCGAGACTACTCAGAGACATCTGAGAAGAAAGACTTGGTGATCTAGTTCTGAAAAATCAGCCACTAAAAGTCCTATGGAGCACAGTTCTACTCTGACACACATAGGGTCACCATGAGTCAGGGTCAGCTTGATGACAACTGGTTTTATTTTGTTTTGTTTTTAAACCCCTAAAATATAAAATAACTTAAAACTATATTTATAGAAAGCTCAATATTCTCAATTTTCACTATCACTTTCCTTTATCTTGATTATAGATGAAATCATTTTTTTAAAGTAAATTTTAAAAGAGGTTCCAAACCAAAACCCGAAGACTTCAAGTCGATTCCAACTCATAAGGACCCTATAGGACAGCCAAGCTCTTAACTACTGCGCCACCCGGGCTCCTAAAAGAGGTTACATAAAAAATTTAAAAATCCATTTACCAAAATAGCCAAATCCCCTCCAAGCTGAATCTAGCTCCCTAGAGAACTGTGTTTTAGAGAACTCATATTTAGCAATGAAAAGTTCCTAACATCATGACAGTTTGATGTTTGTTCTATGTGTTGTACAGCTCTTCAGCCACCTGAGCAGAAGCACAGTCCTAATTGCTAAGTTGATTGGGGATTCCAGAGGCAAACTTTCCCTATCTCCCAAATCATCTGGAGTTGGCAGCATGAGGGCCAACACTTCTCAACGTTGGGAGATAGGACAAGTTTACCTCTGGAAACTCTACCTTCCTATCAGCTCAGCTTCCTTTCCCCTTGACCTAACTGTTCCATTTCCACAGAATCTGCCTTTCAATCAGTACAGAATGTTTAAAAACAGAAAACTCAGAGTCGAGGAATAAAACTCCAAAGGTAGAATTGTGTGATTTGGGTTTGCTCTGTGGGGGCAGGTTTTACTCAGCATCCCTCAAATCACACCACAAGTTAGCTGCCTCCTGATTCCATGTGAACAGTCTGAGTAGCGGGAGTTATGATTCAGTCATTGCTCTGATCTCCCTTCTTAGCCTGGAAAATGCTGGCTGTTCCCCAGGTAAATACTCAGGACAGTTTTCTCTGAGGCTGAGGCTCCAGGAGAATGATTCCGTCCTCAAGCAGGAAGGCCCTCTGCTGTGTGCCTTGCCTTCACCTTCAAATTTGTGTTTTACAAACTCTGTGGTTTTGACCTCTAGGTCCCTCAGTTTTTCATTTGAAAATGAAGATAATAATCTGCTTCCTATGCTTTTATGGTGATTAAATGAGACAACATGTTATCAATACTGAAAAAAAAACCTGTTGCTGCTGGGTCGATTCCAACTCATAGTGACACTATAGGACAGAGTAGAACTGCTCCATAGGGTTTCCAAGGCTTTAAACCTTTATGGAAGCAGACTGCCGTATCTTTCTCCCATGGAGTGGCTGTGTGTTCCAACTACTAACATTTAGGTTAGTAGCTGAGTGCTTTAACCTCAGTGCCACCAGGGCTCCTTTTATTATAAATACACAAAACGAAACCAAACCCATTGTAGTCCAGTTGATTCTGACTTATAAGGTTTCCAAGAAGCTGCTGGTGGGTTTAAACTGCCGACCTTTTGATTAGCAGCCAAGTTCTTAATCACTGCACCACCAGGGCTCCGTTACAAATACTAACCAAACCAAACCAAACCCATTGCCGTCAAGTCGATTCGGACTCATAGGGACCCTATCGAACAGAGTAGAACTACCCCATAGGGTACTACACCATCAGGGCACATACTAAATATAGGTGCCAGAGCCCTGGTGGTGTAGTTTTAAAGTGTTACAGCTGCTAACCCAAAGGTCGGCAGTTCGAATCCACCAGCTGCTCCTTGGAAACCTTATGGGGTAGTTCTACTCTGTGCTATAGGGTCGCTATGAGTTGGAATTGACCAGACATCAGTGGGTTGACTAATATTCATTCTCTTCTTGTTGGCCTGAAAGGAGCACAACATGGCATCTTAAGTTTGCAACCAGATGTAGCTCCAGGATTCATGGAGAGGACAATCATGAGGAAGAAAAGTAAAGTGATCGCTTCAAATATTGAATTTAATGCAAGAATAATAAGAGAAATAAGATAGAGTTTGGCTAGAACACAGGAAAAAAGGATTTATCAGAAAATATGAGAGGGGTTCACCACTGTATTCATGGTGCCTGGAATGATCTTGGAGTCCCTAGATGGCACAAAGGGTTAATGCGCTCAGTACTCATCTACTAAACAAAAAGTTGAAGGTTCCAGTCCACCCAGAGGCACCTGGGGAGAAGGGCCTGGTGATCTACTTTGGAAAAATCAGTCATTGGACACCCTATGGAATGGAGCACACATGGGGTCGCCAGGAGTAGGAATCAACTTGATGGCACCAAGAACTGGTACTGAGACTGGGACTGGTAGAACTATTTTGAAGTTAGTAGGTGTTCAATAAATACACATATGGATGAATCTAGTTGGAGAATAGGGGCTAAAGTACATCAGTAGTAAACTTCCTGTGTGAAACAATCATCATATGGAGCACATATCTCACTGAAAGCACACCAGACCTGGAAGACTTGGAGGAAGTATCCTGAAAATGAAGAATGTAAGACACAAGGAGAACATTGCCAAAGGAAGTGAAAGAATGTCTCACTGGAAGGTTTCTAAAAATAGAAAACTCCACCCAAACTTTAATGCTGTCTGGGTATGGCTCACCGTGTGCCCCAGATAGGTCAAGTATGAGGAGATAAGGGCCATTTGGGCAGCCACAGGACACTACAGTCTTTGTAAGCTTAGGTTCTGGGGCCAGATAACCTCCTTCAGAATTTTAGCATCATCATTTTACGACCTTAGGCAATCACTTTAATCACTTTAAGACTTAATTTTCTTTATTTGTAAAATTGGTATAATAATAGTACTTATCTCAAAGGTTGTTATAAGGATTACATTAAATAACAGGGAAAAGTAACATAATGATTGACTCACCTTAAGGATTCAATGATTGTTATATTCCTTTCTTCTTCTTTACTATCTTTCTTATGTAAGACATTTAGAAGAGGTTGGTAATAGAGATGAGGAGGGAGATCAACTACCTGCCCAGATGTCTCTCCTGTGGCAGAAGGTGCTACAAAATATTCCAACCTAGACTCAGACTGGAAGCTTAGGAAGCAAGGACATGACTTCTTGGAGACCCACTGAGGGAAGCCAGAATCAAGGGATCATTGGCAATGTTCCGTGTGAAGAATTCATGTGTGGAAGTGCAAAACGGAGCTGAGGTCAGAGTTCCTCATTAAAGGGACTACTTATACTGATAAACCCGTTGCCATCAAGTCCAATCCAACTCAAGAGACCCCATGTGTCAGAGCTGAACTGTGCTCTATAGGGTTTTCAGTGGCTGATTTTTCAATGGCTGAACTCATGAACCATTTGCATCATCCAGGGCCTCCGCTTGTGCTGATAAGTGTTCCCTAACTGAAGGCAGGTTTTATAGCACAAAAGCATCCGAGGCTCTATTATATTGTTAACTTCCTGAGCCAGACACGAGGACATTCTGGGGTATATCCCAACATAATCACCTGCAGCCAGTTGCTGTGTCATCCCCAAGGATCCAGAGGCAACTTGAATCCTAATCATCCCCAAGGACCAAGAAGGAAAAATGGTCTCAAGATAAGGAACACCCTTAGCTGACTCTTTCATATACCGATAGCTTGCTCATGCAGGAATAAAACTTGGGCTGGTTTAAGTTCTCCTTTTACGGATGAAGAAATGGGAGTCTGGAAAAGGGAAATGAGTTACTGAGAGGTCTGCTGACTCTGTCCTGACTTGTTGCTACAACACACTTCATTTTGTCACGTATCAGTACTGTCTTATCACTGCAAACACTACAAAAACAATACTGTACCTGTAAGCTTTTTTCTTTTTTTTTAAATTATTGTGGTAAATCTATATGTAAAAAATCATTTGCCATTTCAACATTCTTCACCTGTATAACTCAGTAACATTAGTTACGGTTATCGTGTTGTTCAACCATTACCATTACCGGTTTCCATTTCCAAATTTCCACATCACCCTTCACAGAAGTTCAGTGTCCCCTAAGTAATGAATCCCTTTACTCCCCTCCCCCCATCCACACCACGAATAAATTTTGGCCTGTATACAATTGCCTAAGGAGCCCTGGTGGCAAAATTGTTAAGCAATTGGCTGCTAATAGAAAAGCCAGCGGTTCAAATCCACCAGTGGCTCCGCAGAAGAAAAGACCTGGAGATCTGCTCCCGTAAAGATTACAGCCTAGGAAACCTATGGGACAGTTCTACTTTGTCCTATAGGGTCACTATGAGTTAGCTTCTACTTGATGGCAAGCAACAACAGCAATCCAGAGTATTTCATATAAGTGGAATCATACAATGTTTGTTCTTTCCCACAAGTTTTTTACGTAAAGCCAGGATGTTCCTTTTGTTCTTATGTGTGCCAGGAGTAACCAGGCCATGTGAATGCTGTAGGTAGAGCTGGATTCCCCAAAGGGGTGGAGATACTGTCCTGTGCTCTCTGAAGGAGGACATTTTTTCAACGTGCACTGTCATCACCTCCCCTGCCTTGGCCTGAGTGGTGCCATGCTGCTAAGGTGGCTTCTGCTGCCAGAGTTCCCCAGGGATTGGC